CCCCACCACGCCCGGCGCGGGTACCCCGGCGCGAGGCGCGGGGCGCGGCGGGGAGCGCCCGGGCGCCCGGGTGCCAGCAGAGGGCGGGGTGGGGGGATGGAAACGAGGGTGCGGACCCGCCTGAGGCGCCGCGGGGCACCCTTGGCCCCGGACCTGGAGACCCGAGGCAGGACGAGCCGGCCGGCCGTGCGGACCCGAGCGGGGCTCCGCAGGGTCAGCGCCACGAGGGTAGAGACCGGCCGCGTGCGTGCGCTCCCTCGTGGGCGGCGGACTGGGTGGAGGGGCCTGTTCCTCTCCGCAGCCGCGGGGGAGCGCAGTAGTTTTCCACCTGAAGCAACCAGCTTAGTCGCCGCTTTCCGCTGTGCTGTTTGGAACCTGGGTTCCTGCCGTCAGACCAGACCCTGGCTCTGGGGAGCCGGGCTGGGACCCCGCGACCTGGGAAGATCTCATTCCCTGTGTGGCACGCGAAGTGGCCTTCAGAGGAGAGAAAGCGTCCGGTTTGAGCCGCTGTGTGTTCGAATCTGACAATATCAGTAATGCTCACGGGGGAGAAGCTGTTTGCTGAGCAGTCGAACGTGCCAGGCCCGGTGCTAAGTGCTTTGAGCGTTATCTCATGTAAGCCCCACAACAACCCTGTGGAGTGGGCTACTACCACTCCCATTTCACAGATGAATAAACCAAGGCACTGAGGAGTTAGGTGACTCGAGCACGGTCACACCGCTAGCATGTGATGGAGAGGTTTTCATCCAGACTTGGGTGCCTCCGGAGCTCTCACAGCCTTCATGCTGGTGGGGAGAAGGCAACCCGGGTGACCCGGCCTGACGCAGAGCAGTGTCCCAAAAGGTGGGCCCGTGGCTAAGGGGACTGGAGCATCCGGCAGGGATGGCCAATGCCCACGGATGCAGGGAGAGGAGGGAAGGGCCCCTCTGGCTGGACCCCCGTACTCCGGGCTGCCCTGCCTCAGTACTGCCTACCTGCTGGACAGGCCTGGTGGACACTACCTGGAAAGTTTTTATGGGGCTGCTTACCTCCTGGGTGGCTGTGACCCAGTCCGCCCTGGGTGTGGCCCCTCAGGCAGGTGCCTGGGCAGGTCCCGACCGAGTCCCTCCCGACACCATGGTGAGGTGGCCGGGGCCTGGAGGCGGGGCTTGATGGTGGCCGAGTGAATGGAAGTCTCGGGGCTGATGTTTTCTGTCTGCTGAACACCTGTTCTGAGGGATTCGGCTCAGAGAGTCTGGCTGTCCCCAGTCTGCAGTGGACCCTCGCCTTGACAAACCGCTGCGGCAGTCCGGGCTCTGGGTCTGCTTCTGGGTCCGGCTTCTAAACGCTGTAGAAGTCTCCGCGAGCGGTGATCCATTTCCTGGGCCGGCACTGCTGAGCCGGTGTCAGTGCTGAAGCTCGCTGGGGTGGTTTTGGTCTGGGAGGCCTCCCCGGGTTTCCGGCGGGTAGCAGAGCGGCGCCCGGTGCTCGCAGTCAGGAGGGGGCTCGACAGCTGGCCCGGCGCGAACCCAGAAGACCCGCCCGGCCCCATTTCTGCTTCCTCTGTTGTGGACAGAAACCACGAAAATGTTCCCTCCTGAGCCACGTGGCCTCCTGTTCTCAGGCATGGCAAAGAGCCCATTGTCTGCTTTTGGAAGGGGATAGACAATAATCCTCAGAAACCCAGCTGCTTTTGTTCCGGAACATTGAGCTGCTTGTCTGGCCTGGGCCTGGTCGCGGTGAGCCCACTTCAGGGCAGGCCCGGGGCTCCACCACGGCAGGTAACCGACAGGCCCACCAGGCCCCTGTCCGTGGGTGGGAAGGAGGCACCAGCTCAGGTCTCTGGGGACCAGAGCTCGTGTGTGTGTGTGTGTGTGTGTGTGTGTGTGTGTGTGTGTCCGTGGAGCCCGGGGCCTGCTAGCAGGGGAGGAGACCGGCCTCCTGGGCCCCGGGTCGTATCCCCTCCTCGGCTGCTCATGGGGACTCTTCCTGATGTAGGCCTTCAGCCTGCTGTTCTCAGATACCCCTCACATCCCCTTTGTGGCCATGGTGCACCCCCTCCCACCAGCATTACACAGAATTAGCCTCTTGAACCACATTTCTTGGGGCTGGTGGACATTTTGCACAACATCATGCCTTTTGCAGACGGCACTCACAGCGTGGCCAGGTGTGGCCCACGGAGGACCAGGCACAGGGCGGGGCTTGCTCGCCAGGGCCTGGCCGCTCCACTTATGGCCGCCCGGAGAGTCACAGGCTCCTGGACTGGGGAACTTCAAACGCATCCTCTCCTCCCACGGGGGCCCCCTTTCCTCATTGGCTTTTTATCCAGGAAGCCTTGGGGGTACCCGAGGCCACGTCCCTCGGCTCAGTGCCCTTTAGGGCTTGGGACCAGCTGAGCTGAGGGTGGTGCCCACTGGGCTGGGGGTCTGCCTCTCAGCAGGTGCTCTCAGCCTGGTACTTGGAGCCCCAGGCCTCAGAGGCCACCCGGACACGGCCCAGCCCAACCTGTGCCCCACCCAGCACCTCCAAACCCTATGAGGGCCCTTCTGCCAGTCTCCGTTTCTCACGAGCCCCAAGTGGTGCCCAGACCCACCTGAGAAGAGGCTCACACCCTCCTGCCCGTGAGGCCACGCTTATGTTTAAGTGGAGAAATTGAGGCACAGAGAGTGCAGAGAAATCCACCACTGCCCAAGGTGGGAACGCTTGCGTGGCTGCAACACATCCTGTCTTCATCCCTCCAGGGATCAAACGTGGGGAACTGGAAAGACCGGTAAACTTGGACTCCCCTCTCTCTGGCTCATCCGGCCCTCCCCACACTCCTGCCCGCTGGTGGGGGCAAGGTGGGTGCAGGGACGTCCGTGCAGGACAGCCCCAAGGGACAGGTCCTTGGCTCTCTCCCAGCCTCCGTTGTTGACCTCCATGCAAAGTGGCCGGCTTCCTGCTCACCCTGGTATGCAAATTGGGATGACCAGCCCAGATCTGTCTGCCACCCGCAGTCTGCCCCCTGAATAGTTTTGGCCTCGTTTTCAACAAGTGAAAGTCCCCTCGTCTCCCTCAGTCAGAGGATAAGACACCAAGATGGATGTAGGAGACCAGAAAAGAGAGCTGCCTGAAGACCTCCACAAGTCAAGGGGTGAGGGCCCAGGGTCATAGGGACAAGGCCCAGGGCCCTAGGGGCAAGGACCCAGGGTCCCGGGGGCAAGGGTCCAGGGTCATGGGGACAAGGCCCAGGGCCCTAGGGGCGACGGTCCAGGGTCACAGGGCAAGGACCCAGGATGCAGGGGGTTAGGAGGGAGAAGGGGAGGGGACAGGGAGGGGACCCACGTGCAGGAGCTCAGGCAGAGGCCACCATGTGGGGTGGCCATGTCACAGTGGCGTGGGCTGTGGCTGTCAACCTCAGAGCCATCGGTGCAAAGAAGGGGACCTACCGGCTGGAGCGCAGAGAGGAAGCAGAAGTGACACCAGCGTGTGTGTGTCCCCGGCTGCCACGTCCCCGGCGAACGGGGTTCAGGACGGAGCCTGGGAGCGCCCCGGCCCCTAACAGGAAAGGCCCCCCTGGGGCGCTGGCTGGGCCAGAGCCAGACTGAGCCGCCAGGCGAGGACCAGTAGCGCCGGGGGCGACCTGCGTCCTTCCCGCCCGCTGGGTTTGCGGGCAGCCTCCGCGTGGGGCGCGGGTGAGCGCACAAGGCCTGAGCCGGCAGAGGGGCTTGTGGGTACTAGGGCTGCTGCAGCCCTGGGTTGAGACCAGGACCCCGAGCCTCCCACACAGGGGCCCCCGGTGCTCACGCTGCGGCCGCTGGGGCCGGCGGGGCGGGGAGGAGATGCACCTGGAGTTCCTGGAGCCGAGTGGCTCGGACTCGGAGAGCTGTGGCTGTTGGCTGGGCCGGTGGAAGAGATCTGTGTTGTCCTCCTGAGCGAGCTCACCTCCCCCCCCCCCCCCCCCCACACACACGTGTGCGTGAGCAGCCACGCCCTTGCCCCTCCCACCGGAGCCCCAGGTGCAGAGCCTCTGGCTGGAGGCTCCAGGGACCCCGTTGTCCTCGCCGCTAATCCTGGGCACCTAATCCCACAGGGCGCGTCTCCTATGGGAGCAGGGGGAGGGCCTCTGGCAGTAGGGGGAGGCTCCCAGGGACCCAGCACAAGCCTGGAGGACGGGGTAAGGCCCCGTACAGTGGCTCCCTGTGAAGGAGCTGCCTCCTCCCTGCACAGCTGGAGGACGGGGATGCTTTGTCTCTCCTCTCGGGTCTTGGGAAGCCCTCCCAGCGTCCCGCGGAGCATCTGGAGGCCCCAGATGCGCCTCCACAGGGCTGAAGGCAGCAGAGCAGCAGGGAGGGACGGCCCAGCGTGTGAGCAGGTGCTGCAGGGGGTGGAGGGCACCAGACGGAGCCCCCCAGTCCACTCCAGTCGCGGGGGCTCCTTCCTGCTGCCGCCACTGTTTGGGGGTCACGTGGCTGGGGCTCCCGTGGAGGCCTTTTCCCTCGTCCTGGGCAACGCACACGGCTCCGTGGTAAAAGGACCCCCCTCCTGAGACCGGGGATCTCAGAGGTTATGTGTGCGTGGGAGAGGCCTCAGCCGGCACCAGGCTGCAGAATGCTCATGACCTGCGACAGTGGCGGGCGTCCTGCCAGATCCCACTGCCCTGAAGCCCTCCTCTCGGGGCCTCTGCTGGCTGCCTGCCTCCTGCCTCTGCTGGCTCTCGCAGCCTGTGCTGTTGTGATTGGTAGCGGGCAGTTTGCGGCTGGCTCTTAAATGGCTCCCGGGTGTAGGGGGGCTGTGAGCTCCTGGTGGATGGGACAGTGCCCCGGGGGTCCCCAAGCCCCGCTGCCCAGCACAGCCTCACGTACAGCAGGTGTCGGTGTAGAACCACCCGCCGCGGCGGCCCGAATTCTCCAGAGAAACACAGTCAATAGGAGATATTTATATATAAAGAGATTTATTATTAGAAACTTGGGCTGCACAACTGTGGAGGTTGACAATTCTCTAAATGGGCAGTCGGCAAGCTGGAGACCCGGGACACATAAAGGTGCGCTTCTGGCCTGAGGGCCGGCAGGGTGGGCTCGAGACCTGAGAAGAACAACGTGCTAGTTCGAGTCTAAAGTCAGGAAAAAGCCAATTCCCAGTTCAAAGGTAGCCAGGCAGAGAAATTCAGAGAAGGGTGAGCCCTGCCGCCCTATCCCGCCATTCGACTGGCTGGACGAGGCCCACACACCTGCATTGGGTCCGCCAGTTCAGACGCTAATCTCTCCCAGAGACACCCCTGCCCACACACCTCGTGGCCCACCAGGTTGACAGGTGGAATCCACCATCATGCTGCCCTTGGCTCTGAGGCCGTGGCCGTGGCTCTGGGCCGGACTCTGAGCGGTGGTCTGGGTGGAGGAGGGGGAGGAGTCGTCAGGGGTGAGATGCCCTGGGGTCCTTTTGGGTGGGGGTACCCGCGGGCTGTGCCTGGAGTCCCCGGGGGGTGAGGGCGGCCTCGCGGCCCGTCCCTCCCGCTGTGGGGTCTGTCTGCCCCTCGGCTCCCGCGGCCGGCCTCCTGCGTCCACACGCTCCCTCCTCCACCGTCCGGCTACCTTGCCCGGCCCCTCTGCACCAGCGCCAGTGAGCACCTTGGCACTGGCTGGACCCGGCTCAGCAATCCAGTGAGGCCCGATCGGCAGGTGGGAAGCCGACACACGTTCTGTACAAACGGTTCCCAGCGGACAGAAACTAGGCACCTGTCACATGCTCACAGGGCCTCGGGAGCAAGGCTTCTCCGAGCGCAGCCGTGATATCCGGCCCTCGCCTCCACGTCCGCACCACCGGGCTCGGCCAGTGCGGCCGACTGCTGTCGTGCAGGACCCCGTTCTCTAGCAGGCCTCCGCGGTGACGTGTCGGGCCTCGGGCACACACAGCAAGCTTCGGCATGGCCGTCTGTGCATCCACCCCCAGGCTTTGGCACACGATAGTGTCCAGGCAGGGCCGTGTGAGATCCTGGCATGAGCACCCTCTCCTCGCTCACGCCGCAGTGCCGGGAGCGCCGGGGCCACCGGGAGGGCCGGCCTCCTCACTCCCCATCCAGAGCGTCCGTCCGGAAGGGTGAGAGCCGGACAGACAAAGAACTCCAGCCTCCAGGAGGCACAGGAAACCCGGGGCGGAGCTGCAGGCGTAAGGCTGCGAAGGCTTTTCCACAGCGCGCTGACCTGGCCGCCGACAGCAAGGAGAAGCGGCCGTGCCCGCCGCAGTCAGCCTCCTGGCGGAACCCCTGGAGGAGGCGCCAGGGCCGGCGGCCCTGAACGCTGCTGATAATTCTTACCGTGTGCGGGTGGCAGCCACAAGTGGGTCGCCGGCCAGCACCCGGACTGGCGGTTCAATTTGCTAATTTAAATAATGGGACGCATAGGATTTGGCCTGAGCCTTACACACTCACGTCCGAGGTCCGTCCACAGTGTTGGTGCAGGTGGGATTTTCCTACTGACTTGGGGCTGCTCGTGGGTGCTCGCTTGTGGCTTTTGAGTTCAGATCTTGTGCCTGGCCCCAGTCACAACAGCTGGCTGTCCCGCCGCCTCCTGAACGCTGCTGTGGGCCTGATCTTTCCGGGTCACCTGCTCTGCGTCTCTCCTGCAGGGGCGGGGCGTGTGAGGCGAGCCCAGAGCTGGGGCAGCAGGCGTCTGCCCGCGGCTGGTGTCTCCGCCTCTTACTGGAAACGCCGACCCACGAATAATTCCCAAGGCCCCATCCCGGCCTGTCATCCACGCAGGCTGCTGGTGGCCTCCCTGAGCTGCCCGTGGCCCCTGCCGGCCTTCACCTGGCTGAGGTTCCTCTGCTTCCGGGCCTGCCCCAGACGATGTGTGTGTGCATTGTGCGTGCAAAGGTGCAGATGGCTCTGTGTGCACGCGTGGACCCGCACGCACGCGTGTGTTGGTGCATCTAGAGGAAACCACGCCACGGCGACAGCACGGGCTGGCCTCTGGGCCTTGGCATTTCTGGGAACGTCCAGCCTTCGTGGTATCTCTCCGTGTGTCTGTTTCTGCGGCCCGCCCGAGCCGGGGCTCGCACTGGCTGCTCTCTTCGAGGCTCTGCCGTGGTCCGGGCGCCTGTGCTGCGTGGGCTGGAGGTGGCCCCGCGGCCATCAGCTGCAGCACCCGCTCCGCCTGTCCTGCAGGGTCCCCAGGAGCTGCCCCCTCCCCACTCTGCTCACAGCAGAGCCAGGCCTGCAAGGCTGGGAGGCGCTACAAGTAACTAGCAAGGCACCTGGAACACTAGTGGCCGCCGTGGGACGACGTCGCTGTCCCTGCACGGCCTCGGGACTCGGCGTGGATGGCCTGGCGGCGCCCCCTTCACGGGGAGCAGCCAGCCCCGTGCACGGACGCCACCATCAGTCGGGGTTCTTTCAGCACGGTGTTGGCGAGGACGGCCGTGTCGCACGCACGCAGCTCCCGGGTGTCTGTCAAGCTCGGCCGCCCCACCCCCTCAGGCCTGCGGCCTCCTCGATGCCGGGCCACACGCGACAGCTTGTGGCGTCCTCGGCGGCTGCCTTCGCCAAGCTTCCCAAACCGGGGGCTTAAAGCCGCAGGACTTCAGCCTCTCCCGGCTCTGCGGGCCAGAGCCTGAGGTCAGCGGGCCTCGCGCCGTCTGGAGGCTCCAGGAGAGGGTCTTCGTGCCCTGGGAGCCCCTGGCCTCCTGGTGACTGAGTCTCTCCGCTCTTGGCTCCCGTTGTCACGTGACTTCTCTGTGTCTTCTCTTCTAAGGACCCTTGTCACTGGATTGGGGCCCACCCCAATCCAGATGACCTCATCTCAAACCATTAACGACGTCTGCAAAGGCTTTTTCCAAATAAGGTCGCACTCAGTGTCTGGGTGGACACTGGCTGTTTTGGGGAGACCCCCGTTCGCCCAGCGCAGGGCCCGACGAGGCAGTGCCCCGTAACCGGGTCCCTGAAGGAGTCTCAGCCGGCGAAAGTGGACGGGAGGCAGCTCTGGACACCCTCGTCTCTGTGCCTGGTGGGGGCGTGGGTGGGAGTGAACCCCTGTGGCCTGATGCTCTGGGTCTGAGGACACGTCGGGGTCCTGAGTCACCAGCCACGGGGCCCCAGCCCTGGGGGAGGCCAGTAGGCGGCTCCGGGCCTCCGAGCACAACCCCGTGATGTTTCCCGTGCCTCCCACGGCGTGAGGCTCCCCAAGATGGCTGGGCCTCAGAAACACTCTGCATACAAAGTGGCCCGGCCCCAAAGGTGAGGGGCGTGGCGGTGTCCTGGGGCTGCCGGACGGCAGACCGCAGACCGGACGCTGACACAGCAGGTGTTGAGGGTCTCAGTCCTGGGAGCAGGATGCCTGGGACGGAGGTGCGGCCGCGAGGGAGCACCTGCCCGGGGGACAGTGTTCTGTGCGCACGTGGTGTTCGCTCTGCGTGTGCTTGAGTGCGGACGCCAGTCACAGTGAACTGGGGCCCGCACTGACCCCCGAATCTGACCTCAGTCACCTCTTCGAAGGCCCTGGCCCAAACACGCCCCCGTTCTGAGGGGCCGGCGGTCGGGGCTGCAGCACGCCTTCCTTGGGGAGGACCGTCAGCCCCAAGAAGCAGAGACTTTGTGGGGTTTGCCAGAAGCAGGTGGGCTACGGGGAGGGTCCGGCGTCTTCTCCCGCAGGGAGCGCGAGCGGGACGACAGTTTAGTTCTGGCGGGAGCGCCGGCTGCGCAGGGGGGGCGCCCAGAAGCCACCGTGTCCCGGCAGGATGTGCTGCCGTTTCTAACGGAGGGCGGGCTGGGGGTGTGGGGGCCGGGAGGGAACGGGGCCGGGCTGGGGCCTCGGCGGAGAGGAGTGTCTGCCTTTCCCCTAACCCGGCCGCGTGGCCGCACACGTGCTTTGCGGCGACATCCCGAAAAACGTGCCGTGGGCAGCAAGCACCGCGGCCGCAGAACAAGCCGGGCCAGCTGTGGCGCCCTTTCCCCTCCCGCGTGGCCCGCGCCCTCCAAGTGCTGGACTGCAATGATGTCCCCTTCGAGCTGAGGGCACGGAAAGCTAGCGGGGTGTGAGTCTCCTGCGGAAGTGAGGCAGGACGGTCAGTGTGGAGACCGCGTCCACATGGGGCAGCCCTCCCAGCAGCAAAGCGCACGGCTCACGCCGGCCGGGCACAGGCCGGGGGGGGGGGGGGGGGTCGGCCATCCGGCTCGGTCCCGCTGTGCCTCAGCCCCGCTCCCCGACTGTGGCTTGCTCACGTGTGTGGGTCTGGGAGGTCCGGCCCCGGATTCCGAAGGGGGCTGGCCAGGGAAAGTCAAACCCCATCAGACTGGGTAGCGGACAGCAGAGCCATCAGCTGCCCCGAGGGACCGGGCACGGGGTGGGGGGTGGGGAGGGGGACACGCTCCCCGCGATATCCGTGCATCCGAGGGCAGATGTACGCTTTCTGACCCGGAAACTCCTCTCACAGGACGAACAGGCCCCCGGAATACCGTTCCGCGGCTTCCGTGGCCGCCCCCGGGAACCCCCCCCCGGCGGAGATGCCTCAGCACTCGACGGGGGACAAGCCCCCGACGTCGGTGCCACAGCTGGTCCTCCCGAGCCCGCCCTCGGCCGCGGACGGCGGGAGCGGCCACAGCACCCCCAGCAGGCGGGCGTCCCTCGGCTCACCCCCCAGCCACGACGCCCTGGGCTCCTGCAGCCAGCCGCTGTGCCAGCCGCCGGCCGGGAAGCGTGACCCCCGGGCGGCCCCCGAGACGCGCCGCGTGGCTGCGGGGCCGCAGAGCACAGTGTGTGGCTGGCGGGCCTTCGCGCCCGAGTGCCTGCGGGCCTTCAACACGCCCAGGGCCTTCCTGCTCTTCCTGTGTGCGGCCGCCTTCCTGCAGGGCATGACCGTGAACGGCTTCATCAACACGGTCATCACCTCCATCGAGCGCCGCTACGACCTGCGCAGCTACCAGAGCGGCCTCATCGCCAGCTCCTACGACGTGGCCGCCTGCCTGTGCCTCACCTTCGTCAGCTACTTTGGGGGCACCGGCCACAAGCCGCGCTGGCTGGGCTGGGGCGTGCTGGTCATGGGCGCCGGCTCGCTGGTGTTCACGCTGCCCCACTTCGCCGCAGGCGCCTACGAGGCGGAGGGCGCCGAGGGCCTGGGCACGTGCCGGGCCAACCGCAGCCTGGCCTGCAGGGACCGCGCCTCCGGCCTGTCCGCCTACCGCCTGGTCTTCATGCTGGGCCAGTTCCTGCACGGTGCGGGCGCCACGCCGCTCTACACGCTGGGCGTCACCTACCTGGACGAGAACGTCAAGTCCAGCCACTCGCCCGTCTACATCGGTGAGTGGGGTCGCAGGCGAGGCAGCGGGCGAGCGCAGGGGCTGGCGGTGGTCCTGGCCGACCTCAGCCTGGCCCCCAGCACGTCTTGGGGGTCCGGGGGGGTGCGCGCAGAGTAAGTGGGCCCAGGGCTGGCTCGTGCCCCGGGTCAGCCAGGCGCTGCCCTGCTGCCCCTGGGACTGGGCTCGAGCCTCACGCTCCCGCTGAGACACCCTCGTTTGTGGGGGGGAGGGGGGTGTCAGAATTCGGGGTTTTCAACCTCGTGGCACCACGTCCCCGCGTCCCTCCTGCCAGGCCAGGCTTTCCCAGGGAGAGGTGCTCGGGGACGCGCGCGAGGGACCGGCCGGCGCTCCAAGGCCTGCCCTGACCCCGTCAGCTGGCTGCAGCCTGCTCGTTCCCACCTCAGACTCTGTCCCCCTAGTCACCTAGCGGTGCCGACCCAGGGACGTTGGGGTCTCCTTAGTCCAGCGACGCCCTGGTGGGCCTGTGATGCTGCGTGGAGATAGCCGTGGCCTGGAACACGGGCTCTGGGGGTCTTTGCTCTTCCGGGAGAAAGGGTCCAAATAACGTCTGCGGTCGGCTTGGCCAGGAAAGCTGTAAAATTTTTTTAAATGTTTACTTATTTGAGAGAGAGAGAGAGAGAGAGAGAGAGCGCGCGCGCGCGCAAGCAGGGGAGCGACAGGAGAGAAAGAGGGACAGAGAATCCCAAGCAGGCTCCATGCCATCAGCAGAGAGCCAGACGCAGAGCTCGAACTCACGAGTCATGAGATCGTGACCTGAGCCAAACTCAGATGCCCACCCGACTGAGCCCCCAGGCGCCCCCAGAAAAATCTTAAAAGCAGCCAGATTTCAGACCCCGTGAAGGCCTCCCCGACCTAAACCCTGGCCCAAAGGGTCCGTGTGACGGGGGCAGATAGGTGCAGACACACGGAGTGGGGGGCTCCTCGCAGGTGGGCTTCTGAGTGTCAGTGGCTCGCGAGCCCTGGGGCAGTGGACGTGGCCGGCCTCAACCTCTCTGTTTCTCCCCAGCCATCTTCTACACGGCGGCCATCCTCGGCCCCGCCGCTGGCTACCTGATCGGAGGCACCCTGCTCAACATTTACACCGAAGTAGGCCGACAGTGAGTGGCCCCAGCTGAATCTGCCCCACGCGGACGGTACCTCGCCTGGGCGGTGGCTCCCTCAGAGCAGGACACACAGCAGGAAAAGCTGGGCTGGCCCTGCTCTGGTGGCCCCGGGGTCTGGGGTCTGGGTGGGGGGGCGGCCCTGGGGTCTGGGGGGGGCTGGCCCTGCTCTGGCGGCCCCGGGGTCTGGGGGTCCCTGAGTGCAGGCCCTGAGGACGGAGACCTGGAACCAGGCGAGACCAGGTCACCAGTTCTCTGATACCCTTTGCAGAACTGAGAGCAGATTTCGTGCTGCCAATGTGAGCTTCTGTGTGGGGTTTTCCACACCAGGCAGGTCTCTTCTGATACCCATTGGGGGTCCTAAATTCAGCTCAGGTCTGACAGACTTCCCAGGGTCAGCACAGACCCCACAGGTGAAGGCTCAGCCTTAGGAGACCACCCCCTGCAGACGCCAGCCTCAGGCACTGGGTCCCCACGACTTCCGTCCCACCTGGCTACAAATCGGGGTTCCCACTGCCCCGTCCTTGGGTTTCGTGAGCGGCTAGGACAGCTCCCAGACCTCAGGAATGTGCTTTACGAACCAGATTACCGGTTTATTAAGCAGATTACGACCCAGGAGCCGCCAGATGGAGGAGGTGGAGAGGCCAGGTGTGGGAGGGGGTGCAGGCTTCCGTGATGTGCAGTGCGCCACCCCAGCACCGCCCCCCCCCCCCCCCCAGCCCTCCGATCCCCTGGGCTAAGGTCTTTCTGGAGCAGCGTGCGGATGCCCGGCGTGGGCGCCCTGAGTGCACGTGGGCAGGACGCTGACCCCAAGTGTCTCCCCCCACAGGACGGAGCTGACCACCGAGAGCCCCCTGTGGGTCGGCGCCTGGTGGGTGGGCTTCCTGGGCGCGGGAGCCGCCGCCTTCCTCATCGCCATCCCCATCCTCGGCTACCCCCGGCAGCTGCCAGGTGGGTGCATCGCTCCTCTGTCCTCCTGGGGGGGCACCCCTGGGGAGTCCGGGCCCTTCGCCTTCGGGGCGAGGCCACCGTCCTGCAGGGCCAGCCCGGCCACGTGCAGCTGACCCTCAGGCGCCCCCAGGCCTGGGAGGGGGGAGCCTCAGGCAGAGACCTTGGTCCCTGCCACTCGCCGACGTCTGTGTCCTTCCAGGGTCCCGACACTACGTGGTCATGAGAGCGTCGGAGACATGCCGGCTGAAGGACAGAGGCCACGAGGCAGCCAGCAACCCCGACTTCGGGAAAACCATCAGAGACCTGCCTCTGTAAGGACCTTGTGGGCGGTGGGGGAGGGGGTGGCGCTCCTGCCCGTGCCCATGTATCCTGCAGACCCTTGGGGGGCCCACACGTGCCGGACCTTGACCCCAAGCTAGGAGAGTCCGCGTGGCCCCTCCAGGGCCGCGGTGAGCACACAGCTTCTGAACCTACTTTGTGGCCCCGCAGACTCGAGGTCTCAGCCCCGAAATCCGGGCTGGGAGATTCAGAGCTGCACACAGAGCCGGTGAGGGACAGTCCCGACGGAGGGCCCTCACTCTGCTGTGTCCTCTGTCCTCTGACCTTCTCATTGAGGTCACCTGCACGTGCCAGGGTTCCAGGCTCACGCCCTCTCTCTGCCTTGAGGCCTCTGACGACCCAGGAAGGGACGGGACTGTCTCCGGCCCCCTGCCCTCCCTGCCCTGCAGCAGCCCCCACTCCTCGTGTGCTCCCCTCCCTTGTGTGAGACCTGGTCTTGTTTTGTGGGCTTCAAGGACCCCTGGCTTGCTCTGGTCTCAGGGAGACTCGGGGCCCTGGGGGGGAGGGGCTCCTGGCCGCCCACACCCTCTTCACGGGACCAGGCATCGCACAGGGGGCTCTTGAGGGAATGGGGAAGGAGCCCCCGGACGGCCTCCAGCCTGATTCCTCGGCCTCGCTGAGTACCCCCTGCCCCCCGGTAGTCTGGAGCCGGAGCCCAGGAACGGCCATGTCTAACTGGCCTCGTGGGGCCAGGGGCTGTTGGTGGCAGGAATGAGCCCTTGTTGCCTACCTTCGCCGTGGGAAGGGTGGAGGGGCGTCGGGGCCGAAGGTGGCCTCCGGGGAAGCCCCGGGGCTGTCTGCTGTCCGGTGGAGAGGAGGCAGGGCTGGCGTGCTAGGGGTGGAAGGTGGACGGGCCTGCCTCGCTTCGGGCTTTGTTCTCCTGCGTCCTGCTTCCTGTGGGGCCACCCAAGAGCTGCCCGCTCAGCAGGGTGCCCCAAGGCAGGTAAGCCGCCAGGGGCCGCACCGGGCAGGGGCGCAAGAGCGTCTGTGTGAAGGCCGGGTCGCCCCGTCTCCCGGCAGCCACGGGGAGGCGCTCTGAGCTGGAGCAGGGCCACCAGTGCCCCACATGCAGGGCTAGGGACCCAGCACGTCAGCAGCGCTGGGGACAGAGGGCCGAGAAGAGGTCTGTGTCCAGGCTTAGCTCCCTAGCCAGTTGCCGGTAATAAAATAAATCCTGGAACGTGTGCCCTCTGTTAACATCACGACTAGTTCTCCGAGCAAATTCAACACCAGATTTTAGCAGAGCCACCTAGAGCCTGGGACGGTCTGCACACCCTGGGGAGGGTCGCCTGCCCCCCCCCCCCAAGCCTAGCCGAGCGCCCCGAAGCCTGGGCCGATCTGAACAAGACCCAGGGAAGGGGCCAGCCAGACACAGGGCGTCCCCCACACAAGGCAGGACCTTCTAGCCCCAACAGAGGAGGTCCCGGGGAGGGGCCGGTGCCCTGGGCCCCCCCCCCCGAGCCCCCACCCGCCAGCACCCCTCTTCTTCCCTTCATGGACATGGGACCCAAATAATTAACCAAAAAGCATTGTTTTCAGTCTTCCGGCTCGAAAGTCAGTTTTGCATGTGTGTCGCTCTGGGGCGGGTCAGGTGCCACGAGCCGCGTGGAACGTCTTTCCTTCGCCTCCTCCCGGCCGCCTGCTCGCGTGTCCCGGTGCAAAGCCTAGTCACGGCTGCACCGCACGTCCCTGCTTTCCAAGATCCAATTGCCGGCCTGTGGCAGGTGCCCCGAGATGTGAGCAGGGACTCTGGGCTCCCTCCCGGTGTGAGCACGACCAGCAGCGGGGTCTCCGGGGCCGGGGCTCACGAGGACGGGCTTCACGTGTGGCACAGCCCTGAGCTGCAGACCCGGAGAGCTAAGCCCCGAGGGCCATTTCAGAGCCGGCCCCCACGGCGGGCTGAGGGTAGTCATTCAGTTCCAGGGTTTGCTTTCTCGTAGGTGCGGGAGAGGGAGGCGCTGCCCTGCGGTGACCTGGGGCTCCAGAGAAAACCCTGCCCCCGGCCCACATCACTCCCCGGGGGCCAGGGACAGAAGCGTACTGGTCGGCACCTCGGTGCCCAGGTCCAGGCACCTGCCGCCCGGCGGCTCCGGGAATCGGGAAAGCAGGCAGTAGAGCCTCAAGTGCGGGCGGCTGGCTGCCCCCCGAGGCCGAGCTTCCGAACTTGCGGACCCCCCGCGGCTGTAATTCCGTTCCCACTCCAAGCTTCGTGCCTCCACTGCCCCGTAAGGACGGTGTGCTGTGTTCTATGCTGCGTGTGTGGTCGGCACACCCGGGCGCCAGCCCTGCTCGGCCCGAATCCCCAACAAGGTGCAGAGCAGTCCGGCCAGAGCCAGCGGCCCTCGGAGAAACGTGCTCACGCGAGGGCAGGCGGTGTGGGGCAGGGCCTGGTGCCCAGCCTGTCGCTCGGGGCAGGGACACAGGCGGGCAGCAGTCAGAGCCCGCGTCGGGCACTCACAGAGGTCTCTCCGCTTCTCGGTGAGACCTGAGGCCGAGAGCGCCACGGGGCCGTGCAGGGCTCCCCTCCCTGATCCCCAAAGGGAAGCAAGGCCGGCCTCACTAGGGAACGGGCAGGTCAGGTCCGAGGGGCCAGGGCCAAGGTCCTTCCTCAGGATCCCTACGACACCACCCCCAAAGTACACACCAGCCCGGTCCACCCAGAGGCTCCTTGGAGGACCCCCTGTGCCCCCTTCTCGAGAGCTGGTGGCTGAGAAAGGACCCCGGCCTTCAGTGCCGGTCCCCATCCGTGGGGACCTGGCCAGTCCTGGACTCGGGGACAGCCGCCTCCCCCGGCCCCTGGCTCCTGACTCCCCCCCCACTGCCAAGCGATTCCACGGTTTTGTGGTTGCTCGGGGTCTCTCCCCACGCCAGAGCTGAACTGTGGCGGAGGCGGTGAGGAGGTTGATTTGGCGGCTTGCTCTCCTGGAGCTGGTTCTCCGCCAGCCTCACACCCCGTCCTGACCGCTCTGGGGGAGACGTGGAGGGCCCCCCACGCCCCAGCCCCCCGCGCTCCCCTCTGGAAGGGCACTTCCTCCCTGCTCTGACTCTGTCTCTTCTCTCGTCTCCCCATCCAGCTCCATCTGGCTCCTACTGAAAAACCCCACGTTCATCTTGCTGTGCCTGGCGGGAGCCACCGAGGCCACACTCATCGCAGGCATGTCCACGTTTGGCCCCAAGTTCCTGGAGTCCCAGTTCAGCCTGAGCGCCTCGGAAGCTGCCACCTTGTTCGGTGAGAAAACTCGCTGAATCCTCGGGGTCCTCTGACTTCTCGTGAGTTCTCGGACGAGTGAGGGGTCTCCCGAGTCTCTTTTACAAGCGCACGCGGCTCCTGTATGCGCGAGGACACGCGGGCGCATGGTCCTGCAGGGGAGGCCCCCGGAGCGGGTGTTGGGCCGTGCGCAGAGTTGCTTCGTGGGTCTGATGGTCCTTCCCGGGAGGTGGGGAGCACGGACCACAGTGTGCTGACCTCCTGGGGGGTCCGCTCTGGCTGGGAGGGTCCGGGGCGAGCTCATCGCCTGTGACGCCCGCTCACCCCCTCCAGCGTCCCTGGCTTGTTGCAGAAAGGGTTTGGCTAGAGGCATCCAGACCCTCAGGCCCGGTTGCACCCGGGAGCCAGGTGGCCGGCGTCCCACGATTTCACGGGACCATGAGGTCGGAGCCCCGGGACCCGCCTGGCCAGAGACATTCTGTGGCCAGAGCCAGGCTCCCCCCCCCAGGAGAACGAGGGCCCTGCTTAGACCCCCTCCTGCTGCTGCGCAGAGGGCACCTGCAGCCTCACGGAGAACACACCAGGCGGGACGCGTTACCAGACAAGGGGTCGATGCCGGGCCGTGCCAGACGTGGCGTGGATCCTGGCCGGGGGGGTCAACACCCCGTGTGGAATGTGGGGACTTCTGGGCAGCACATGGGCCAGTGCAGGCCGCCCCCCAGCCCTCGGGGTTCTGTTCCGGCACGGGGCTTGGGCATTCAGTTAGGGACCCCGTCCCCCTATCTAATGCCCCCAGACACCCCTCCTTGCCTGGCCTCTCGGCCCCATCCACAAGCGCCTCCCCTTTCCCAAAGCGGCCCCCTCCCTGTGCTCACATTGTCCCAGAACGGCCACCTGCTCTGGGGTCCCCCGGGCTGCAGCCCAGAGCTGGAAGGGGTCCATGTCAGAGCCGGCTTTGGTCCTTGCTGGAGAGGCAGGCCCACCGAGCCCCACACCCGTCTGCACCCCGTCCCTGGGACGGCCTGGGAGCCGCGCGCCAACTAATCCCAGCTTCCCGTGAAATGGCGCGGGCCACGGATTTCTCGAAGGTGGCCCACGGCTGGACTCTCAGAAGCTGTGGTTTTCTGGGGAGCACAGTCCCTGGGCGGCCTCCCGGTCAGGCGGGCAGCGGTCTATTGGCCTCTCCCCCTCCCAGTCCTGCCCCACCCCTGCGGCCCCGCAGGACCTCACCGAGCACGTCCCCTCTGCCGCAGGGTACCTGGTGGTGCCTGCCGGGGGTGGCGGCACCTTCCTGGGTGGCTTCTTCGTGAACAAGTTCAAGCTTCGTGGTGCGGGCATCATCAAGCTGTGCCTTTTCTGTGCCCTGACCAGCCTGCTGGCCATCTTCGTGTTCTTCATGCACTGTCCCAACGTGCCCGTGGCGGGTGTGACCGCCAGCTACCACGGCGGGTAAGGACCGAGAGGTGCCCGGGAGAAGGGGAGAGCCCAGCGCACCTGTCGGAGGCACCGGTGGCCCCGGGGGATGGCGGCGGTGGGGTGGGGACTCGGTCACTGTTTGGAGAGGATCAGGGCTAACGGTCACTGAAAGCCTGGCAGCGGCCCTTTGGAAGCCCCGGGCTCCGTCCCAGCCCCAAGCCCGGGGTTCCCATCTGGAAAATGAGACTCCGCTCACCCAGCCGCTCTCCACGTGTGGACGTGGAAGGTGGCCCAGGGTCGGCTCCCGTGTGTGACCGAGTCACGGGAATGTGAGAGCGACAGCCGGTCAGGCTAATATCTGAAGCAGGCTGCGACGGTGGCCGCTGGGACGGGCGGCCCCTCTCAGGGACTCCTGGTGCCGCTGGAGGGTCAGGACCACAGACCTCAAAGTGGCCGTGGGAGCACTGTCCCCCGACAGGACCGCCACGGTCCCCCCACGAGGACCGTGCTGCCACGGGAGGGAGGCAGGCGGGTCCCGGGCCAGCTCCCAGGGAGGGTGCTGAGGGAGGCGGGAAGGGTCCGGATGGGCATGGGGTCTTCCATCTGAGTGGAAAGAGAAGGAAGCCCGCGCGTCCGTGATGGCCACGGTGTGCACGCGCCCCTGAGCCGTGCAGGTGCACAGCTGTCACCTGAGGGGCTGGCGCCTCTGGGGGGGGCTTTGTCCCCGGGCGCTCTGAACCACCTGCCCGTCCAACCACCAAGTCGGGGGAAGTGCGCCGCGCACACGGAGAGCAGAGCGAGCGCGGTTTGCGTGGCGTGAGAACGCCCAGCGGGTCTACGGGCAGGAGGCAGGGAGGGGAGCACCGGGAACCTCGGGAACCGGAGGCCGTGGCTGGGGGTTGGGGGGCGCGAGGCCCCAGGCTGGGCTCCCCACCCGGCCCCGGCCCCACCGCCCCCTCCTCTCCCGCCCGCAGCCTCCTGCCCCAGGGCCGCCTGGAGCTGACCGCCGCCTGCAACGCGGCCTGCGGCTGCCAGCCCGAGCTCTACAGCCCCGTGTGCGGCTCCGACGGCCTCACGTACTTCTCGCCCTGCTACGCGGGCTGCCTGGAGGCGGCCGAACCCGGCCCCGGCGGCCAGAAGGTGAGCGTGGCCGCCGCCCCCCCGTGCCGTCCGCGCCCTGGGAGGGCCCCTGCCCCTTCCTCCGGTAATCCGCGCTGTTTGCGCCCCTCAGGTGTACCGAGACTGTAGCTGTGTCCCTCAGAATTTTTCCTCTGGTTTTGGCCATGCCACTGCAGGGAAATGCACCTCAACTTGTCAAAGAAAGCCCCTCCTTCTGGTTTTCATATTCGTTGTAATCATATTTACATTCCTCAGCAGCATTCCTGCGCTCACGGCAACGTTACGGTAAGCCCCGGCCTGGGTATCGCTCAGGCCCAGAACCTTCCCTTGCAGCACGCTGCGGTGGAGCTCTGCAGATCCCGCGGGGTACGTGCCCGGCCCCCCAAACACCGCGGCAGGAGAGAGCCAACTGCCTCTGTGAGGTGCTTGCCACCTGGGGAGGTGGCCACTGCAGCCTGGGGCGTGGCCAGGACTTGGCTGCTAGCGTGGGGGGTGTGACTTGGCAGACGGCCCCACCCCCCCGGGCGCTGACGCGGCTGTCTCACGTTTCAGGTGTGTCTGTGACCGGCAGAGATCGTTTGCGCTGGGAATCCAGTGGATTGTGGTTAGAACTCTAGGTACTGTGACCCGTGAGGAAGCCACGTACAGTTGCGTAGTGCGTTCGCTGCACAAGGGCACCCGGCCTGTGTCCCCTCACGCGGCGGGTGTGCATTCGGGAACAGCTAGTGCCCGCTTTGGAGAAGGACGCCATCCCCTCGCCGTCCACTAGGGGGACCCATGGTCATTTATTTGCCTTTTCCTGATTAGCACAAAGGCTCCAGGGGAGTGGAGGGTGACTCGGCACCTCCCCCCCTGGTGCCAAGTCCCCAGAAAGGAACCTTTTCCGCCCGTCCCCCCCCCCCCCCCCCCCCGCGAACACCAGTGGCTGACTGACGTCACCCTTCTGGGTCTCGTCGCTGCCCACCCGCCCCCTCTGGCCCCCCGCGCGGGTTGGGTCCTGAGTGAGCCTCTTTCTGCAGGGGGCATCCCGGGGCCCATCGCCTTCGGCTGGGTGATCGACAAGGCGTGCCTGCTCTGGCAGGACCAGTGTGGCCAGCAGGGCTCCTGCTTCGTGTACCAGAACTCGGCCATGAGCCGCTACATGCTCATCGCGGGGCTGGTGTACAAGGTGAGTGCGGGGGCGCGCTGGAGGGGGGCGGTCCCGGGTCGGCTCCAGAGGCCCGGGGTCTCCTCCTGCTGGCCCAGGGGCCCAGGCTTTCCACCGGGGCCTTCCAGCCGCTCGAACCCGGGGCCCCGGTTCCCAGAAGCGGCCTCCTTCCCAAGTGAGAGCCCGTTGTGGGGCCCCAGCCCCACGAAGCCCCTGCCTGCCGGGGCCTCCCCCCTGCCGCTGGCCCCGGACTCTGGTCCCCTAGGGCTTTGCAGGGATAAGACCCCGCTCCGTCCCGCGAGGGCAGATTCTGGCGGGCCTGTCGGTGTCTGGGGGCTGTCGGGGCGGGGCTTATGGACCCCTGAGCAATTCCGCTTCCTGACCTTGAGGTGCCTGGGGCGCTGGCCCCCCCTCCGCCCGAGCCTGGGAAGAGAAACTGCCTGCTTTATCACGTGTTTCGTGTCGTGTGGGGAGAAGCACGGTATTTATAGTTTGAATTTTCCCCGATGGGAGGAAGGGACACGGAACCTTCACAATAAAGTGAAATCCTGGGGCCAGCCTGTAGGAGTGTCTCGATTTTCTTCTCTGGGTGGGGGGGCTGCTCAGGGGTCCCCCCCTTGCCTCACGTTTGTCTAGAAGCATCTCGGGGATGGCGAATCCTCAGCCCCCTGGGCTTATCTCCACACGGATTAGCATAATAATAGCCACGTGTGAGAAAGGATTTGCGTGACCCCAGCGGAAGGCAAGGGGTCAGTCGGAGGGGGACATGGCTTCCTGGGAGCTGCCCCCGGCTTTTCCTCTGTGCCCCTGTGCCCGGAGCAACAGGCCGGTACCCGGGCCGTCTGTCCACCCAGACGATGAGCCCTCTGCGTCAGCACAGCGGTTACGGTGACTTCTCAGGTCAGTGTTAGTTTCAGCAGGAGTAGCAGACAGGTTCTCAACGCACCCCCTCCGATCCCTGCGCCAGAGTGGACACGGGTGCCAGGCTTCTCAGGCTGGTGATGCTCCCAGAAACGCTAAAACCCAGCATCTGCACGTTAAAACACACACGTGTACAGGGGCGCCTGGGGGGCTCAGTCAGTTACGTGTCCAACTCAGGGTCAGGGCATGATCTCACAGTTCGTGGGTTCGAGCCCCGCGTCGGGCTCTGTGCTGACAGCTCGGACCCTGGAGCCTGCTTCGGATCCTGTGTCTCCGTCTCTCTCTGCCCTTCCCCCCCCCCCAAAATAAACAAACTTTTTTTTTAATTACAAAAAACCCTGAAGATCTTTATTCCTCAGTTCTGGGGGCCAGAGGTCCGAAATCCGCACGTCAGTTCCTTCTGGGGGCTCTGACGGAGGGTCTGCTCCAGCCCCGTCTCTGCCCCTGTGTTGCGTGGTCTTCCCCTGGGTGTCTCTGTAAAGCCACTGTCTCCTTGCTCCCACGAGGACACCTGTCACTGCAGGCAGGCCCACCCGACACCCAGGATGATTTCATCTCAACCTTCTGAACTTAATTACACCTGCCAAGACACCGCTCCCACGATAGGCTCTGGGGGTCGACACGGGGGGGGGGGCACTGTTCAGCCCAGGACGAGCCCCCCCACCCCATCCAGGGCCAGTATGTCGTCAAATGCTGGTTTTCATTCCCTCACTGACAGTATGGGTGTCCACGCAGGGGCGGGTTATGCAGGAAAGATGGGTCTTCTCTCCGGAAGCGGGGTCCTCAGGACCTCGGGAGCAACCGGGCCGCCTGGCCTCTTCCTCTCTCCCAGGTGCTGGGCTTGTTGTTCTTTGCCGCCGCCTGCCTCCTGTACCAGCATCCGTTGGAGGCTCCCAATGGCCTAGAAGCTTCTCTGCCCAGCCAGTCCTCGGCCTCCGACACCCCCATGGACCTCCAGGACGCCCCCTCGGCCCTCCAGCTCCAGAGTGACGTCTGACCGCCCACCCGTCCGCCCAGGGACACGAGCCAGCAAGCACTGTCTGATTTCTTCCCAGAAGGGCTGACCCCTCGCCGATTGATACCCCAGGGCTGAGGACCCTCCAAAAATCTCTCCTAGGATCCTGAGGGTACTAAGCTGGTGGGGGCCGCACGTCCGAGTCTCAGAGACACTGAAGAGGAAGAACGCAAGGCAAGGGGGGACACGGCGCGCCTCCCCCCTAGCCCCGGGGGAGAGTGTGACGGTCCCTCTGGCTCAGGAAGACCGAGGCCCCGCAGCCCAGCCCTTCTCACAGTCCGTGAACGGGCAGAGCCGCGAGGCACTGGATTTTGCCCGGGGGCCTCGAGAACCCCGGACGCGTCGACAGCTGTGATTTTCAGCCTCTCTATGCGATCTGAGCTGCACTGTTACAGAAAGTCCAGAACCACCTGCCGGCCGGTGTGAAGCTGGCAGCCGCCGGGGGGTTCGGAAGTCACCGTTCTGTCCTGGAGACTGGAGAAGCGCCCGTCACTGCCTGTGGCGCGCACACGGGGCTCGTGCCGCTCCTGTTCATTGTGACACCGTCGACACCGCGGGGTGGGAATTACAAAGCCCTGACCCCCGCCGGGGCGTGTCACCGGCCGTGCTCCCGAACGGGCCTCATTCGGCATCTGGGGACCAGCCTGGCCCCGACTTCCTGTGTCTCTTCTGATGCGGGGCAGCTGGGCGGGCGGCCGTCCCCAGGGGCACGGTCCCTGCTGCCCCCTCGCGTCCTCAGAGCTGCAGCGGGACGGGACGCGCCGCAAAAGCAGATATTTATGGACCAATATTTTGCAGAACCTTATTTATAGAATTTGTCTTTTACCTGCTTGTGTGGTGGGCATAGCGGCCGGCTCAGCGGACATTCGCGAACTCTGCCTGGAGGACACTGGGACTCCCATGGAATGTTCGCGGGTGTCCTCAGTCAAAATTATGTGTAAATAAATATATTTTGATATTTAAAGCAAGCCTCTCTGGCCAATGTGTTTTCTTTCTACGAAGGTGCAGAGTTTGATGTTTGTACACCCCCTTCGTGTGGGTTTTTGTGAGTTTGCTCCCCAAAGCCAGTGTCGGGCTGCCCCGGGGACAAGCGCTCCGTTGGCCCTGCGCCCTCCCGGTTGGCCTCTCGCCACCCGCCTCGCCAGTGACCCCCGTTGTGCCCCAAGAGTCCCCTCCCTCGGGGGCCCAGCGCCAGCTGGGTGGGCCTGAGCCCTCCACCCAGGGTCCCACTTTCCTGAGTGACCCGCAGCACCAGGATTCAGATGGGGACGGCCGGATTCAGCAGGTAGCTCGGGAAGGGTGTGCGTGTGTGTGAGAGGGGACACAAAGGGAGACACCCCCCCCCACCCCCACTGGGCTTTCTCCCTGGGTATCCAGATCTGACGCAGTCCCTCCCAGGTGGAGCCCAGAGAGTCCACAACTACGGCCCGGGGGGGCCCTGGGGGCAGCTCACAGGTGTCCTGGACACCAGTCTCACCAGCCGGCCCACGTGGGCCCACGTCCCGGACGGGCCTTTCCTTCCACTCCCCATGCTTGAATCCTGACCCGGCCGCTTCCGTTGGCCAAGGTTTACGTGGTGAGCAGGAAACGGCCTCCCTGGCCTTCTGGACCACGTTCGAGAATTGACGGGGCACCTACTGTATCCCAGGCCCTGTGCTGAGTGGCGGGGAATGGGGGAGACACTGCCTGAGAGGTCCCCACGGCAAACCCAGGCCGGGTGGGAGGGCAGCGGGCCCGGGGACACACAGCCTGGCAGGGGCGCTGGGACCCTCTTAGGTGCGCCAATGCTCTCTCCCCGGAGGAGGAGGCCCTCAAACCCCCTTCATCCTGGTGGACGCTGGTACCTCTGGATTCCCTCCACCCTGTCTTTGCCCTTGAAGAGGGTCCAAGCTGGGGTGGCGCTCACTTAAGCTCATGTCTTTTTCTAAGCAGCTTTACTGAAATGCGAATCACCCACTTAAAGTAAACTAGGGGCGCCCGGGTGGCTCGGTAGGTTAAGCGTCCAACTCTTGATTTCGGCTCAGGTCACGATCCCAGGGTCATGGGATCGAGCCCCTTGTCGGGCTCTGCGCTGAGCACGGAGTCTGCTGGGGGTTCTCTCTCTCTGTCTCTCTGACCCTCCCTCTCTTCCGCTCTCTGAAAATAAATAAATAAACGTAAAAAAATAAAGGAAAACTCAGTGGGTCTTGGTCTGTTCACAGGATTGGACCAGCATCGCCAAGGCCGGCTGGAACGTTCTCCTCGCGGAGACCCCCCCTTGGCCTGCGCCCCCCAGCTCCCCCCCCACCCCCGCAGCCACGAATCCACTCTCCTCCCTGTTTGCCTCCTCGGAGCATTTGCTGTGGGCGGGACCGCGCCGATGGCGTCTTCTTCCACGCCTGCTGTGCTCGCCAGGTGCCGTCCAGGCCGTATCCCGAATCCTGTCTAAGGTCGAATGACAGTCCGCCGTGTGGACGGGCCCCGCTGCGTCGGTCACATTCCTTACAGAAGAAACAAAGGTCCCTGGCTTCTCCCCGCCCTTTCCAGGCTGAACTACAGTTTTGCTCACTTCGATGCTGGGATCGGGGGAACGGCCTCCAGCAGGGCTCTGACCG